GCCGGACGCAAGGCGCTTGGCGGAAGCTGAATAGCCAGGCAGGCCTTCATGTAAAGTGATGGTGAATTGCCTCCGCTGCATCAAGAAGTCGGCGACATGTTGCTCAGCTGTGAGGTTCTTAAACTCCGCCGAAATTCTCCACATACCGGGCTTGATCACCTCGGTCTGGTCATACGATAGGCGACGGCGGCTCGTTGGAGAACATAAGCTGGTGAGATAAAAATCCACACACGATTTGTTGATCAGAACGCAGTCGTCGTCGGCAGGATTGTAGTAAACACTACACCGAACTTGCAAAGGTATGAACCGCGTAGGTCTCGGGTCGCAGGGAGGGTCGTTAAGAGGAACGCACAGAGTGAAGTTCACGTCCTGCGTGCGCTGTATCACACCGACCATATTCCACCCGCCAATTTTGTGCGGCAAAGGAATCATGGCAGAGTCAGTGTTGCGTGGTTGGCGGTGGCAGGCGAATATGAGACGAGCTTCAGGCAATGAGGCGAGAGATGCGTTGGAAAAGGCCTCAATGACTTCAGTGAGCTCAAGACTGCCAGGAGTTGGTAACGTTGTTGCTTTCGTTGCCGCGCAGGTCTCACTTTGCCCGGCTAATTGGCTGTCTTCTTGGTATTGTGCCTTGACCTGGTCTATGCGGCGTTGCAGATCGACAGAGTCGCTAAAAGCCTGAGTTGATTCGCTGCTAAGAGAACTCATCCTGATAATGAAGGCAAGTAGGTGAGGCAGTATAGCTTCGGGAGTCCTTTACGACTCTGATACGGGCCAAGGTAGGGTGTTATAAGTAATCATCGAGACCTTGTCAAGGAAATGCCCGGCAAGGTACTTGCGCCCATGTATCGGACCGGAGACAGGTGGCGCTTGTTTAGCGCCTGCACCCAAGAAGAGCGCGCGCTTGCTCTTCGAACGGGTTGCATTCAGTGCCAAGGCTGGCTGATGACTGGACCATGTCATCCGTCACGTACAAGAAGTCCCTAAACTTAAAAATAGGACCTTCTCCACCGCCCAACCTCCAAGCCGGCCATCCATCTTACCGCAGCATCCTCTCTCTACACACATTCACCATCTACGTAAATACACGCATCGAACTTTGCACATTATCATCTACTTATAACATCCGCCCGTACACCTGACGGACCCGACCGCCCGACCGACGATTCGACCACCATCAACACCCAAGACAGAATCACATAATGCCCGCCTTCCAGCCGCCGAAAATGACATACGAGAAAAACAAGGCCTGGAGACGAATAGCTAAGCCGGACTTTCACGATCCAAAGATGATATGGGGTGACTACTGGCGGCGGTTCAATACGATCGCAGTCCCACTCCTCGATGAGGACGCCTATTTTGCCGACATCATTGCTGCTGCAAAACACGCCGAGAATCGTGGACACCTCGAGGAACTTCTCGCTGCGAAACACGAAGAGCGCCGCCGAGATCTCGACAATTTCATCCGCGACATCGCCCTTTCATCCATCACCTCCCAACAGCACTTCTTGTCTACAAATACTCGCGATGCGGCGCTCAAAATCGGCCAGACTGGCAGTATGGATAGCTTCATACAGTTCGTGTGTGGCGTTATCTTCGGTTGGAGTAGGGCCGAGGATAAGCAGCTGATGCGCGTCACCACCGCCGGTGATACTAGCACAGTTGGAAATGGACCCGATGCTCGATACGATGGCGATGCGCGAGATGATATTTCCGAAGATGGAGGCGATCCATGGGAATACGAGAACACATTCCCCCCCGAGTTGTGCTCCTCACCTGGCTCGGACGAACAAGTGGACAACCCGTGGAGTCAGACTTTGCAGAGAGGAACAATTTGTCACGATACGGACAAGACAACTTCGGAGCACCAATCTCAGCCATTATCATCCATGGGTGCGTACGATGCAAAATCAGTCTTGTTAGCGGGAGCAAAAGAAGAAAAAGAGGGGGACTCCGTCGAACGGTCGCCCGAATCGATAAACACACCACCAAGATCGCCAATAACCCCAAGATCGCCGTCCGGGCTACGCCCCACGTCGCCGCGACCGACGGACGGTTTGTCCACCGTTGCCGCCACACCACTCTCGAAAGGCTCTCGGTCAAGCACAAGCCCCTGCCCGGTACAGACCACGTCGCCTTGCACGTCACGTTCCTCGCCAGAGCTCTCTTATGCCCAAGTCGTGGAGAAAACTAGCTCTCTGACAAGGGCAAGCATGCCTACTGAACCAGAAGATAAAAAGCAGGCGGGTCGATGTGCGCGAAGCGGAAGCGGGGCTATAGGGCGTTGCTCAGCCAGAAAGCGATCATTTGCTCACGAGAGTGACGAGGAGACTGTGGATGAGGAGTATCGTCGCCGGAAGCGAAGAGTCACAACCAGGGACTCTCCTGTTAGATCATCACCCCCTGTCTTTCCGGCCGGGACGGATGCAAGGACTGGCGAGCGGAGGTATGAAGACATAGGTAGGCGTGCGTGATGGCATCACTATAGCTTCGTGAAGATAATGATCACGTCTTGTCCACTTCCTGGGCTATGTGGGACATGATAGCCGAATAGTCACGCATAATAAGTCGCTATGCATCGTCAACCTACAAATGTAACTAACTAACTAGGTTGGGGACAGGGAAGATGAGCAAGCCACAGTATAATGGCCGTCACGGCATTCTAGCCCTCCCAGCAAGGTGGACGTGAGGATTGGGCTGTCCGGTGCAGTACTCGGTAGGGCGACTTAGACTCTTGTCGCAGTCCAGGATGCACCTTTTATTCACTCTTTCGAGATCGATGATATCAGAGATCATATCTGGTTTGCCATTTTCCAGCCTGAGAACAGGCTCTTGTGCTACACCTGGCATTCTCTCGACCGACCAAAAGACCGTTCTCACCCATACTGCTCTCAGCTTCGGACCCAACATCTGAGACAAGCCCCGATCCACGAGATGCGCAGTCTATCACCATAATTAGGCTCGAAAACTAGGAAATAGTGCTGACGATCAATGCATTGTCGTCAAACCTCTGTGATGCGACGTGCCACGCGAAAACCAGTTAGCCGCGGACTAGAATATGTTTTCCAGAGGCATTCACTCGGGTGAATGCATTCTCCTGGATGTGGATGCTCGGCGCCGTATGAAGCAGTGTGGCACTGCTCGACCTTAATTCGAGGACGAGGATACGGTGGGGGCAGCCTTGTTTAGCGACTGTCACCACGCTACGGACTGATTCCGGACACTGCGCATTGGGGACCGGAGAGGCAAAAGCCAGGATTTAAGAGCTCAGTAATCTGGAGCATCCCATTGGATGCTGAATAGCTCCGTTTTGGCGAAGCCCTGAGATACCCGCATTTTACCCATCATCACCCCCGCCCTCCGTAACCCGACTGCATCACGGTCAGAACCTTCACCAGTTAGTCGCTGATGATGATGGCCCTTACTGTTGGTAGAGTTAGAAGAGCCTCAATCCAGGTCAAGCGGTCCTTGCTCTGGGCTTCTAATATGGAATTTTTTTCTTTTTTGACCATCTAAATGAAATGACGAACGCCTTTTTGCCAGTATGTGATGCCAGAACCAATTACTTATAGTCTAATGAGTCGACCATGCGAAGCTGGAGTGTCATTGGAACAAATACTGGCATCATTTGGTTGGATAGCTTCTCTTGCATTTGGAACGGTTCATCAGGGCAACCACTGGAAGCTTAACCCATGTGCCAGAAACGGACTTCATATCTCACACTCATCCTGAATATCCAAGGGGTGTTAGACGAACTAATGATCGTCGTTCTAGTTGTTTCTTCCAATCAGTAATTCGTCCACCTTTGGCCGCCGCTATTGTAAACCCCCTCATTAGCCTACGGCAGTAGTTTGACAACGATGCAACGGTCATCACCAGGATCATGGTGAGTGCCAGCACTATTGATGGTGGTGAACTGTGCACTGTTTTGATCTTCTGAGCCGATGCTGAGTGTTGATCTAGAAGCTGGACTAGATTTATCTGCATATGGCAATTGGTATTGATGTGAAACACAACTTTGCCAGCCGGCTTCTGGTTGAGAAGGAGAGATGACGCTGCTGCAATGCGGGAGGCAGATTCCCGTGTGGTTTTCTACTTCAGGTGCATAGCCCATATTGTTTGCGTCTGACATGCTGAGAGAGTCGTTGGTGTAGAAGGGATCTGGCTGGATAGTCTCCGAATTCCACCCGAAGGACGGTCTTGTGAATATTTGGGAAAGTATGGGGGCCAAAGTTGGATCGTCTGGTTGGAAAATCACGATCATATCGTCCTCCGAGATATCGATGTTGATTGAACAAATCATGGGCGAGCCGTGGCCGGCGACAAGGGTTCGAGTAGCTGTGCCGACCGCCCGGCCTGACGGACCCATACGCACGGCCACCTTACCTGGAGAACGAGGGAAAGAGGCGGTTGCTATTAACCCGCACCCTTCTGGGGACGGGATCAAAGCCAGCTGAGCAAAGGGTTGCCATGGAGATGTGAACCTCACTTGTCTGCTCATTGTCAGACCTATCCCCAAAGTCGGAACTCACAAGGGTATTCTTACAATTTGAAATGATCGGTTGTCAACCTCCAAACGTAGTTACACACGGAATGGGCAGAGAAGCGGATGATTTCTGCTCGGATGCTCATCATTTCGTGTTGCATCAGATGTATCGCTACTTGGCCGGTACCGCCGAATATACCGTCTTGTTGAAGGTACAGAATTTGTTGTTCTCCGCCTTCCGTTGTCAACAGAGTTCCGTCAGGCTGTCTTACCGCCACTCGAACAGTTCTGTAGAGATAGATGGGCTGCACGTCCATGTTGAAGTGTTTAATTGAGATGATAAGGAGGCTCAGGTCGGTATGTTGCTGGTTATATCTTCGCTAGTAGAGCCGAAGCGCAATACTCTGTAGATGGCAACGGACAAGCTTTCTGGTCTTATATTGTCGTCTTCTCGTATTGAAGGTGGTCCATGTAGTTTACATCACCTATTCTAAGGCTCGGTAGGGTTGTCGTTGGCCGAGAGTTAGCCCGCCAGGCCATGATGAACAGAATCCCCCACACAGTGTGAAAAACAGACAGTCATCCATGCATCATACATCCTGCAATCATGCATTCACTCGTTCAGTCATTTCCCCTTCTACCGCCGCCCTAGCCTCTATTCAAAAAATGGACAGGATCAGATGCTTTAACCCGTAGACGTCGTGAGGAAGCGTTCTTTTACCTCTCTTTTCGACTTGCGCAATACTCACTCTAAACCGCTGGTAAGCATCTTTCTACGAATAGTTGCATAACACTTGAACGTCGTTGTTTTATTTTGGACCCCAATCAGTGATAAATCGTGTGTAACTGGTGCACAGTCTCTCCGACTTCTTTGTCGTGAGCTCACAAAAACCTAGACCTTTTTAGAGCGTGTCAATTAGGTGTCACTATAGACATTAGAGGCGTGTCTGAGTAGGATGACAAGTCTGGTGGTTAGGATTAATGGACAGCTATGTCCGGAGACGCCTCCGCCACCAACAGAGACTTCTGAGAACGGTGCGCTGCGACTTGTACCGGAAATTGGATGATTTCTTACAGCTAGAATATGGCTAGGCCGATGAAGCTGCGGCCTCAAAGAGGACGGGAAAATTCCCCGGGCCAATATCCCACTTGAGTCACTTCAAAATATTTGAGCGTCCTGAAGAATGTATGTTCCGTTTGACGATCCGCTCCCAAAATAGACAGACTGGCTAAGAAAACGTGCTGGGCGCATGCAGGCGTGTGATGAACAGATGAGTCAGATATGGTAAATGTAAAGCGGATGGATAGATGTGCTAAGCACGAATGTGATGACCACAATGCATGTGCACGAACGCAGAGTTCTGCCAGGGGGTTTGGAGCCCGCGACCAAATTGGTGATGTGCGAAGGGCTGTATCTGCCAGCTGTTGGTGATTTCTTGTACTTGCGCGCCGTGCTGCTTGTGTCTCTCATCGGCAATGCACCGCAACACTTCGTCAGGATAGACGTGATCTTTTGACGCTCGAAAGCGGCTAGACCAATGCACTTGCAGCATTCGTGATGGTCATGTTTCTCAGCCGTCATGTCGCTGTTCCCACTCGAGAGCAGTTCCAGATTGGTAGCCCGCTTATGTGTCGTCAATTGTTCTCGGCCAAAATTAGGACCATCTACGGACGAGTCATATAGCGGTCTATCGTGTCTCTGGACGCACGATTTTAAAGCATTCATATAATGAAAGATAGATGAATGGATGGATGAATATGAATAGATAGTCGAGAGATGTATGAACGGGTGGATACTATGTACATACCTTGACAATACCATTGGTGGAGTGACGCAGCTTCAGCACGGTCTCTAAGGTGACGATTGGCAAACAGGCCTCTTCATTTGCGCCACTTGCCTCCAGCAAATAGGAGTTGAGCGGCTAGACGCCGAGGAACACATCTAGTCCGCTCCTTGCTCATCCATGTATCGAGTATTCCCCGCTCATCCATTCTCTATTTATTCATCGTTCTACAGCGTGTTGCACAGGCTTGCGCACTTCATCTCCCTCTTTTTCAAGATCCATACAATGGCTAGGCATATCAGCAGCCTTACAACTTTCCTGGACCAGTATGAGCACGGATTTTCCGATGAAGACTTGAGCGGAAGGCTGAACCGTATGGCTATCTTACTGTGTAATCCACCATACCATGCGACAGCTGCTCAACCAACGAGAAGTCGGCACCAATCAGCTCAGAAATCTCTTTTCAATATACGAAAGGAATTCGGGGATCCAGTCTATTATCTGTGTTTGTTTGTATCCAACATAACTACACTCTCTACTGAGCGACAGCAGTTCAACGACGCTCTAGCGCAATGGCCTGGTAAAGGCAAGATTCCACCTGCTTTTACAAAACAAGCCCAAGCGATAGTCGAGAGGTATCGAGCAGAAAAGCAAAACAATGAAGAACGGTCCTCTCATACGTCCCTTCGGAAACGTTCTCTGTCAACACCCCATACAACTCAAAAAAGCTCGACTAAGGACTCTGGAAACGCATCCAAACGAGCCAGGCTAAATGGAGGGCCTAAGGACCTGATGTCAGTCGGAAGAGTGGCCGAACACTCTGAGCC